AGTATATAATTTAATTTCTCATAACAACCCTGCAGGAAGTGTTTTATTCTTATGGATAAAGAAACAGATAATAGAAGTTATGTGCTGTGTATTTGAACGCAAGTCTGTCAGATTTAAAAATTCATATTCCTTGTACTGTGATCTGAAGCCTTTGAAAAATGGATATTTCCCAGGATGAGATGCTTGCATCTTGATCTGTTCCCTGGAAGGAGTAGGGAAGAATACAGGGTAGGCAGAGGAAACTAATATTTATAGAATGCCTATTCTGAGGCAAGAATGCTACTACTTTATTGTTGTAGTGAGTTAAGTAAGTGGTGTTATTCTTTGGGACTCAAGGAGGTTAAGTCATTTGTCAAAGATTGCGTAAGTAAGTTGGTGGCTGATGGATCTGCTTGATTTCAAAGCCTCACACTTTCATTTTTCTAGTACAGAATCCTGCTATATTTATTCATTCATTCAAACATTTGCTTGCTAAATGGTCTGTGGTAAAGCATAAAAATGAATGTATTGAGGGGCTAGCCTGGTGGGTAGTGGTTAAGTTTGCGGGCTCTGCTTCAGCGGCCTGGGGTTTGCAGGTTTGGATCCTGGGCACAGACCTGTGCACCGCGTATCGAGCCATGCTGTGGCAGCGTCCCATATAAAGTAGAGGAAGATGGGCATGGATGTTAGCCCAGGGCCAATCATCTCAGCAAAAAGAGAAGGATGGGCAACAGATGTTAGCTCAGGGCTACTCTTCCTCAAAAAAAAAAAAAGAATGTAGTGAATTTTGCCTACAAAGATCTATATTCTAGTGCAATATTTCTTAAATAGATAATAGACTCAGTGTAGTAAATTGTGACCAGCATTTCTTTAAAAAAAAAATTGAATAGAAAATTTTATTGTATTGTATGTGGTAAGGATAAAAGTGTTATTTCATTTAGTTTTCATTAAATATGTATATGTATTGTAGATCTCTATAAAAATGTATTTCTTATTGGAGGATAGCATCAAAAATTTGAAAACTAATGATCTAGTGACAGAGATGGAAAGGTAAGCAAATAATTATGAATAATCACGAATAGCAAGTAAGTTCTATAATAGGGTTCTATATAGGATGCTAAGGAAGCATGATGGAAAAAGCAGACAATTCAAGGAAGGCTCCCCGAGAGATGATTTCAAGCAGTTCTAACACATGGGGTAGAGAGCCTTAAATACGTCTAAAAGCGTGAAGGGGTGAAAGAGCATAGTGTATTCAGGAAACTTGGGGTGGTGTGAAATAATGGCAAACAGGAGCCAGATATTTTAGGGAATTTGTAGGCCACTATACCAAAGATTTTGGATTTTATTAGGGCCATAGTTTTTCTGGAGTCTCATAGTGTTCTCTTGCTAAAGAGCAAATGCATTTATATAATTGATTCTATCATACAATCTAGAAACAATTTTAGGAATAGAAAATTTGACCATATGTTGTGCATGTAGTATAAAATGGTAACTATGAGCACAACTGTTGATTAAAATCAATCACAACCAAAAAACAGTTAAGTAGTTTTGAGGTGACTATCAAATGTTCTTTTCTACTTCTTGTTTTTTCATCTGCCTATTTCTAGTAGACTAATGGTAGTAGGTGCTAGATTTTTAAGATAACTTTGTAAGAGAGAAAGTTGTTTGTTTGCTTTTCCTTTAAGTTAGGAAGACAGCCATTATTCAGTTCTGAGGGCACGTAGGGGCCAGCTATTGGAATATTAATAGCAGACCCATTTCTGTAAGTCAGAGTTCACAAACTTTACCTACAGCTGTGTTTTGTTTGGCTTGTAATATTTTTTCATATTTGCCTTATTTGCTAATGTTTAAATATTGGTACATTTCACATGAAATATCTAGAGTTCTGTCATCTCTTGAAAAGTTGAACGTTGTGACAACGTTGGTTTCATGTTCCTACATGGCAATATTGGCTAGAGCTTATAAGTAGCTGCCTTCTTTTTGGCAGTCTCCATCATTCTCTATTGTCTTACACCAGACCAGCCTCACTCATTTGTTGCCTTTCTGGTCCTTGTAAGACATTTGAATTGCCTGCTATGTACTGTACTTTTCTATAAAGTGTTTAAAAAGGGAATTTTGGTGTTTGAAAGATCATTCTGCCAATATTGGGGAGGATAGATTGGAGGAATATGAGAAGGGTCTGGTTAGAATTTTAATGCAGTAAGGCAGATGAGATGCCCTTTTCTTCTTCTGAACCCATAGTACTTTGTACCTTTCTTAAAGCACCTACTGAGCATAGCTTTCCATTACAGTTATATGTGTTACTTATCCCTTCAACTAAATTGTAAATACCTCATACATAATATGTGTTGGATAAATGCTTGTTGAATTTGATTATGTTTATTTTTAAGACTACTATGTTTGTCACAAAGATGAGTTTTCTTGGCAGTTTTAGAGTACTCTTTTTCTTTTTTTTTGGTGTGGAAGATTGATCCTGAGCTAACACCTATTGCCAGTCTTCCTCTTTTTGCTGAGAAAGATTAGCCCTGAGCTAACATCTGTGCCCATCTTCCTCTATTTTGTATGTGAGACCCCACCACACATGGCTTGATGAGCTATGGGCGGTGCATAGGTCCACGCCCAGGATTTGTACCTGCGAACCCCCGGCCGCCAAAGCGGAGCGCAGAAACTTAACCACTGCGCCACCAGGCTTGCCCCTAGAGTACTCTTAACTGAAAAAAATCTTTTATACATTTTAAGTATTAGTTGCAATTTATTCTAAGAATGAGTAAATGTCAGATACTTCTTTTTTTTTTATGTGGTGAGGAAGATCAGCCCTGAGCTAACATCCATGCTAATCCTCTTTTTGCTGAGGAAGACTGGCTCTGAGCTAACATCTATTGCCAATCCTTCTCCTTTTTTCCCCCCAAAGCCCCAGTAGATAGTTGTATGTCATAGTTGCACATCCTTCCAGTTGCTGTATGTGGGACGCAGCGTGGCCGGAGAAGCGGTGCGTCGGTGCGCGCCTGGGATCCGAACCCCGGGCCGCCAGTAGCGGAGCGCGCGCACCCAACTGCCAAGCCCCGGGGCTGGCCCTCAGATACTTTTAAAGCATGTATTACATATGAGAAACAGAAATTGTCTTTATAATAAGGCAGTAGACTTTTAATTCATTTTCATGTTTGCCAAACATCAGGACAAAACATTGTGTGAAAATTGGTCTCTCGGTTTGCCATGTAATTTTATTAAGTTGGTTTGAACATTATTCCAAAAGCTTTTCATTAGTGTTTTCTACTGATACCTAGAAGTAGTTTTAAATTAATGTCATCTGTAGTTTTTGTTCTTCCTAAATTCCTTTTTTATCCTTTATACTGAAAATAAAATGTAGATGCAGAAAACCACACAAAACAATGTGTGGCTTAGTGAATTATTTATAAGGCCAAGACCCATGTAGCCATCTTCCAGGTTAAGGAATAGAATGTTGCCAGCCACTTTAGAAGCCCTTCCATGTGCTTCTTCCCCAAAATAACTCCCTTCCTTCAAAAAATAACCATTATCCTGACTTTTTTGAAAATTGCTTAATTAAGTTTCTTTTTGATTTTATTACCCAAGTATGTATCCCTAGACACTATAGTTAAGCCTGCTTCTACCCTCCCTCTCTCTCCATTTCTTTTTGATTATGTTTTCTTCCTTTCCACCTTCTGTTTTGCTTAAGGATTTATCTTACATGTGTTTTTTTCCTGTAATCCTTTAACTGAAGTCTTCATTTCTGAAACAATTATTCTTCTTTTACTTCAGATTCTTTCTTGAGCTGTCACTTTATTTCTGAGCTTTTGTAGTTTTGATATTTCTTCCTCTCCTCCTCCCCTCCTCCCCTCTTCCC